GTTCTTATTTTCTCGATTAGCACGATTACATAGTCGACGGTACAATTTGTCATTTTTCTGAAAAAATGCCTTTTGCCTGCTATTAATAAGTACCTTAAACGCCGAAGTTATCCAAGGCTTATCTCGGTCGTGCATTTTAACTACTTTACATGGAAGCAAGTGGTCTAAGCCGGTATGAATAACATCCTGAAAAAGTTCCAGTTTTTGTTCACACAATGCAGTATGATACAAGTTAGTCCAATTATAGGTCGTTAGCCATCTTCCAAATGCAGCCTTGGCACCTCCGTTCCCGGGTTTAATTTCTATTTTCTTGCATCCGCTCAGTGATTTACATTTTTTTTCAATGCATAAAATGGAATTATGGTCGCTGATGCGGATGGGTGCGATCACCTTATGAGAGTCACATGTGTCTGACATATTAGTAAGATGAAGATCAAGGAGAGCATTTTTCCTTGTTGGTTGTTTTACGATTTGTTTCAAAGTGAAATGTCTCAATAAAAATGAGACACATAAAGTTGCAATTTTCCAAACGCAACAAACAGATTCCTCTACTACCCCTCCCTGAGATCAAATTCAATTTACCCCCAAAATCTGGGGGTTCACGTGACCAGCTCCGACCACGGTTTTCCTCCACAAGAGGAAAGAGCCTGGGAACGAGGTTGAGATACTCCTATATTCTATTAATATTCACTTGAGACATTGTAACACTTGTACTTTAAGACAATCCGAATTCCAGGCACCTCTATATTTGGCTGCCAGATATGCGGGTGTCTGAAATTCAGACACACTTATATCTGGACGCAAGATATACGGGTGTTTGAATTTCAGACACCCGTGTGTCAGGATAAAAAATATACGGATGTCTGAATTTCATACACCCCTATATTTTGCATCGGCATTTAGGGGTGTCTGATATTCAGACACCACTTTAAATAATATTGGCGAATTTGCTGTATTGTAGAATCTTGACTTGTCTGAATTTACCCGTATAATTTCCATCCAGATAAGGGTTGTTTGAATTTCAGACACCTGTATATCTGAATGTGTGATATACGGGTGTTTGAATTTCAGACACCCCTATGTCTGGATGCAAGATATACGGCTGTCTGAATTTCATACACCCTTATATTTTGCATCCACATTTAAGGGTGTCTGAATTTTAGACACCCCTTTAAATAATATTGGCGAATTTGCTGTATTGTAGAATCTTGACTTGATAGAAACAGGTTGTTTCAGCAAACAGTCAAATCGTGTCTGCAAAAAAACGCTAATTTCATTGAAAACTCATCGGTCTGCCGCTTTTTGTTCATGTCATAAAAATGTGCGGAAAATCACGACTTTGGATATTGTTCAAAATTCTTCGGAATGCTTAATAAACCAACGGAAACTCTTCGTTGCCTGAAGATTGCCTACGGGTATGAAACTCAGAGTAACAATGTTTATTTGAGTCGGTTTAAGAAAAAATAAATGATTAATTAGCCGAGTATGAATATCAGGCTCTATTTACACAAATCTTAACATGTTGTCGCTCCCCACGCACAGCAAAGTTTATATTCTGTCAATTCCACATAACTGAACAACAACATAATATTGTTATATCAACAACATTATAACATTCCAATTATAATTAATTTACTAATAATGGTATTATCTAAATAATCAATACAAAGGCAGACTAAATTGTTTTTATTCTGATAGACCAGTCAAATAAAAAGCCAAATTTTGGCTTTTTACAAGCGCCCAGACAGAGATTTGTGTCATTTAAGGAAAGGAAACGAAGGCTTGATACCCAGGCCATAGCCTATCGAAGGGAAGATGGCTGTGAAACTCATTACAAAAACAGTATAACTATAATTGTTATATGGCTTTTCAAAATTCACTATTCTAATTGGTTGACAATCGGCTCGTAAAAACCCATATCCGGACCCAACCTCGTACCCAGGACCAGTCGCGAGTTGAAGGCAGCGACATGGCCCTGGTAAACGCTGGTCACGTGTCAGGCAAATACTCCAAGATTTTTGGAGTATTAGCCTGCGAGCGGGCTTTATGGAAATAAAGACAGGGGGCAACGGAAAGTTCACGAATAGAACTTGAATTGAGTGGATTTTTTATATTCTTTTATTTTTTGTTGTAATCTTTCTTTTTAATATGTTACGTTTATATATTACGTCGAATGTACATCAATCTTCTTTTATATCGCATCATATAAATCGCCGAGGAGGCAATGACGCGATGTTTCGACTTTTGAAGGACAATGGAGCCAACCTCGTACGCACTATTTTAATTTGTGATGATTTCCATCAAGTATAAAAAGGTACAGTATGAATTTGAAAATGTGTAGAAGTATTTTATTATTACAAATTATTTAGCAGAATCCCATGAGTTAGCACGTGCACTCTTGCGAATATCTGTGACACTGACTAGCTCTATGAAATATATATTTCGATTTTCGAAGGCTATATACAGTATGTTAATATAGTTAGCTGAATTTGTAGTTTAAATATTGAGAAACACATGGCCAGACTATGGCCTATAATACTAGGTTGACAAAGCTAAAATCTGATGAACCTCAAGGTCTCGAACTGCTAGGATATTTTTAATAGTCAAACATCAGTTTCAGCGTTTCTTCAGCATTATTTAATGTTAGTGAGTTAATGAGTATTTTTAATATCCATGACAACTGCAACTGGTCAGGGATTTTTTAAGGAAAAAGTTTAGCACCCCATCGTAAAAACCTGCCCCCGAATCTCAAAATTCCATTATTTTGTTCCCTTGCCCCAACATTTATACCTTTTGTGCCCTTGAGATATTTAAAAAAATGCCTAACTCTGCAGTGTGGCTTGTAACCTTGTTGCCATTACATAATCATTTTCTGAAGGCTTCAATAAATTTCTACTCTAACATGTGACAGAGATGAGGGTCATATGCATGAACAAGAAGAAATGGTTTCTTCATCTATCGATCCCTTACCTCTCACCAATTTTTTAAATAAATTTATTGAATGATTTTGAAGTTTTCTTGATTGTTGAAAAGAAATTTATGGGTACAAGAAATGGGGCAAAAATAGTTAAATTAAGCAAGATGCAAGTAACAATGAACAAGACCAGGTCACTGGATGGTATTTCAGCACACTGGTGGACATGCAACTTAATAGCTGCAACCTGTGTCACATTTATATAGTTTTACACTGTACGGGAAAAATAATATCAAGGAATTTGTAGAGATTCAGAATGTACACTACATGGTTTATTCAATCACCTGCATGAATCATTTTCATGTTATGAATTTTGTTTTAAATTAGTCTCACTTATAGATAATTACATCAATTTTTAATATCATAAATGACTATAGTAGCTTTTGATTATACAAGCCTTATAATGATGTATCAGCAAATAATGACTGCATGGTCTCTCTGAAATCCATATAGAAAGATTCAAATTTGACATCCACTACCACTACTTGATCTGGCAGTTGCATTCGATTGTTTGATTGGGTAGATGAAACTTATCTGGTTAGTTAATGATAGCAATAGCAGTAGTGGAAAAAAACTGATATCTCTATTATCCTTTGAAGATTTGCTCTGGTCACTTCAATTCAGGGTTGCCCATGCACTGTTATTCTTGACTTTGTAAGCACAGCTAGCTCTTCAAATTGGAGGTCCAGTTCTTAGGATTCCGCAAATTAATTCTGGAAAACTGTCTTTGGTTTGGGCTGAGCAAAAATCATCACACTGTTTTTCATTCTGATTTGGTTGTTTAACAGTTAAAGTCCAGGCTGCATGTTTATTTGTCCTGCATATGGCAGATGGGAAAATCCAGTTTCCAAGTGTTTATGTGGGAAATTAATATTAATCTGGCTTCTGAGCGAAGGTCTTGCCGGCTTTATGCAAAACCGTCGTGACGTGAGATTCCAATTGCTACACAGCATGATCTCAGGGCTCTTCCTCTGAAACAATGCTTGGTTGCGATATCATCCAGCAAGTGCAAAAATGCACTACCACGGTCAAGGATCATTTGGCATGTTCATCAACTATCATATACAACAGCCAATCCTTATATATATTATATTTAATAGTCATATTTACATATTGGTGAAATATCAATGTCCATATATTAGGGATGTCCATGAACTTGTTCCTAGATTGAAGCTGAAGTATTCATATCTTTTGTATCAGTTGTCCCTCTACTAATCAACTTTTAGTCATTATACAAGAGTTGAATTTGCATTCACTTGCTTCGCAAGTCGCAACAAACGAACAAAGTACTAAACCATAAACCTGTGCAATGACGAAGCGTCTTGAGCGACATATCCAAGTCTTCTTGTTCGCATACGAACAAATCTCACTGATTTTTTTCCACAGAAGGTATTGGTCCATTTGATCGATCGCCGTACTTTGAGAAAAGCTTGAAATGCAAAATTCACAGGGAAGATTGAAGAATTTCGGAGATAAAAACTGTTTGTCTTTGAGTTTCACCTCTAGAATTGACCCCCCGGTTCAGAAAAGTAACAATTACGTAATGTTGGAGTCACGTGACCAGCGTTTACCAGGGCTACGCCGCCCGTCTTCAATTGCGGCTAGTCCTGGGTACGAGGTTGATCCGGACCGTGTGGTCCGTATTTTTCGTATCTGGACCGGTGTCCGGGATGTCGTTTATCTGGCGGGAAATTTTTGCTTTGCAAACAGAAAAAATTTTTGCTTTTTAATTTTCCAATTGCGTGTCGTTAAAATTTACAGATTAAAATTTCGAACAACCAAATTGTTTTTGATTGAGTATGCATGCCTACCGTATATTGTTACTCAGTGAAACTGACGATAGCCGATTTAATTCGCGCGAAAAGCATATTCTCACAGACTCAGTTCAGCCATACAATAAACCGATTATTAATCTCGCTTGTTCGGTCTGTACTGTGAAATATCAGATACCATAAATTTATTTTTATATACTATAAAAAACATTTTATATACTATAAAAAATAGGTACGCTACGCGTACATGTAACTGCGCAAAACTGGAGTCACATTTAGTATTTTCTTGAAAGGAAATGAATAATAATAATAATAATATTTAATATTTATATTGCGCAAATTAACATGTTTTAGTATAATTACATAGGTGATTATTGAAAATTCTCCACGCTGATTGGTTACCGTTGAGGTGATTATTACGCGATAATCACCTAAGCGATTTTCAAAATGGCGGCTGAAGCCGTTTTGTCAATTAAAAGACGAAGAAATGTGCATTTTAATTTTTTTTTCCAAATAATCACCCATGAAATTATACTAAAACAATTATTCACCTCAGGCTCGGTGATTATCGTGAATAAAAACCTCGACTTCGTGTCGGTTTTTATTCACCGATAATCACCTCGCCTTCGGCGAATAATTGTTAAATAGTATATGATCAAATGCGCATCACAACACAATTACACTAAAATTATTCTAAAAAATATAAACAAGATTATATAGATTATATGTTACATGAAGTATTTACATTAAAGGCTTCTTGAAAATAATAAGTCTTAACTAATTTCTTGAAAATACTAAAGTTATGCAGATTTCTTATATACATAGATAATTCATTCCAGATTTTTGGAGTGGAGGTTACGAATGCTCTGTCGCCGAGTGATTTCTTTGTTTTTTGTACTATAGTCTTCAAGCAATGTGCCTTCGGCAGATCTTAGGCTATAGCACGATGTATTTATGATGTATGATGTATGTTGTGATCTATAGCACGATGTATTTATTTATTTTATTTTTTTTTTATTTTTTTTTTTTATTTATTTTATGTATTACTTTTAAAAGATTGACAAGATAGAGAGGTGGATACTGATGGATACATTTAAAAGCAAGCATGGCAATTTTGAACTTGATCCTTAATCGAACAGGACGCCAGTGTAATTTGATGAGAGTCGGAGTGATGTGATCATGTTTAGGGATAGAACAGATAAGACGTGTTGCTGTATTTTGTAGCTGTTGTAGTTTAGACAGATGTACATCTGTGACACCAATGAACAATTGAAATATATATTTCATCACTTATTATATAATAGCAAACTAGATATTAAGATCAAGCATAATACGCATCTACCAGGGCTGTAAACAGGGGAAAGAGAATTTAACATACTAATTTTACAATGTCATTATGATCATAAAAAATAATCATGCAGTCACGAAATACAAATTCCATTCAAACAATACTACACTTGCACAAAATACAATACTTTTGAAATTAATATCACTATCATATATTATATACAGTAGAACAAAGTTTGCAGGTCTAGTTTTCATATTGAATGAAATAGCTGCTATAAATTCCATTTGCAGTAGTATTTCGGATTATTACCATAACAGTAACAAAGGTTTCCTTAATAGGTCAACTGAGTTGTGACAACATAATGTTGATACATAAACTGCGATGTCACACTGATAACTTGACAATCTTCTTTATCAATTATCATCGCCATATAATCAAGATATGCAAAACATATCAGATGCCATAGAGTCAGGATAGCAGGTGTTGTCACAAACCATACCATTGACATATATATAGCATCCAAATTTAAACAATAAACAATATATATAGAAGTTAACATTTACATTGAAATCATATATATATGTCAATGATCCATACTCATGGAATTTTGACAGTTTTTCAAAACTTTATTGTATATAAAATCACATGAAGCAAATTTTCTGTCAATTGTTTATATTTATAATGCATGGATTACATTTGGATTTGCCAACGTCAACTGTTGAGACTTGGGTAATATACATAAACTATTCAAGGAACATAAATTACTGCAGCAAACAGGTCAATCATACACATTCAAACTTTTTGGTCGTATAATAGTAGCAATACCATACATATTAAAAAACTTTTGCTGGAAATATAGCTCTTATTTTATACATCGTGGAAATTGCATTCATGTTTAAACACTGTACTAGGAGCCTACATTGAATATTGTTTACACATTATTACTCGCTGAGGCACTGTGCCCCAGACGAGTATAGGTTTCGGCTTGCATTTTTAACGGATTGGCAATCTGTAATAGTGGATCTCCAATCGTCGATAGCCACAAAATAGAATATTAATGAGCTGCCTAATTTTCCCCCAATTATCCATAAGGCTCCTACCAATTTTACCCAAATTATCCATAAATAGCCCTCCATTTTGAGGAAAATTCGGGAAAATTGAACAATTTTACAAGGAATTTCGCATGGAAACAGCAATCTTCGCAAATCGCAAGTTTGATAAAAGACAAAAAGTTTATGCGTTTGACTTTGACTGCGCTGCTTTATATTTTGAGAAGAAAGCGACACCGTTCGATTCAGCGTAAGAAATTGTGCTTACGGATGTCGAGTGTATTACTAAACACCCGTATTCTAGCGATTTATGGCCTTTGAAAATGAAGCGAAATTGTATTGTTGAAAAATTGCTCGCCGTACGTAATGTTGATCACAAATCACTAGCTCGCACTACGTTTGTCCACAGGTTTGTCCTTGTATTTGTAATGCCTATAATGGCGCAATAAAGATAAAAATACCACCGTTCGATTCAGCGTAAGAAATTGTACTTACGGATGTCAAATGTGTTACTAAGCACCAGTATTCTAGCGATTTATGGCCTTTGAATTGAAAATCAAGCGAAATTGTATTTGTTGACAAATCGCTCGCAGTACGTTTCATAGTGTATTTGTAATGCCTAATGGCCCAATAAGGATAAGAATACCACCGTTCGATTCAGCGTTAGAAATTGTACTAATTACGAATGTCAAATGTATTACTAAACAACAATGTTCTAGCGATTTATGGCCTTTGTCTTTGAAAGCCGAGCGAAATTGTATTGTTGTCAATCGCTCAATATTATTAAACTAATTATAAAAAAATGCAGTACGTTTGACCCTTGATAACTTTGGTATCATTGGTTTTCTCTTTTTCGGCCGTATACCAGTGGATTCGTCTCACTTCTCGCTTCATTTTGATAGTATTTGAGCCCAAAAGCCGCAAAATATTTTATTTTGAACGTTTTAAAGCGCAGTAATCCTAGACCAACTGGCGGCTGACAGTTTTGAAGAAGAATGTAGCGTACTAAATATAACTTTACTTGTAGGGCCTACCGCATTTTAGTACTGTGTTCAAAGCCTTTCGCGCTCGTATTCGACTTTTCCGCTTAGCTCAGGGAAAACCATAAATCTCAATTGAAAGAGCTGTGTACTGTATGTATCATGTACATTGTACAGTACTGTGCGTAGTTGTATAGATCCAGCGAGTGAACGCTCCGTAGAGCGTCTTGTTCATATTAATCTGACACTGCATCGAGCAACGAAAAATTCGTTCGCTCGAGCGGGATTTGAACTCGCGTCCTCTAAGACAAGCGTTAGTCGTCACGAAAATTAAATTGGACAAGACTCGCTACCAATCCCTGTTGACTCGATAGCTCAATAGGTAGAGCGACGGTCTAGATACCCGAAGATGCGAGTTCAAATCCCGCTCGAGCCAACGAATTTTTCGTTGCTCGATTGCAGTATCAGATTAATATGAAACTAGTTTTTCGTATCTCTGAGGATGGTTCTGAAATAGAATGACTCTTTGCTACGGAATTCGTCTATGCTTTCATGTCGCTTTGTTGACGTGGGATACATTTGAGCAAGGTTCGAAGATGGAAGGTCGCCCATTTTGGAGTAAGAGGGTTTTAAAGGAGGAGAGATCATTGGGTTTGTGTACACCGTATAGACACGTATTGTCCAATATGACACATCCGAAGTCTAATCGTTCAGTTGTGCCGAGTTCCCCTTCCGTTTTTAGACTCTCGAACTTTGTGAAGTGGTGGTACATCATCTCTTCCAATGAGTAGAAGGATGTCGGTGTCACGTTGAGCTTCAGGTATCTAATCCGCAATTGGGCGGAGATGCGGGTAAGCCATTGCAATGTCAGGTTGTAGGGATTTCGTCTTTGTTGTCTGGTATTGCATTGTACTCTGTTATGGTGGGAAGACTTTACAGTCAACTGGGCCGCTAACCAACTCGGCCCACCGTTCAAGAACCAACTCCGCCCGCTCATAAACTGACTAATGTAACCATTAAACAAGCTAGGCGCCATGACTGCGTTCTATCTTTGCAAATTTTGGGAGAGATTTGAATGACCAACGGACAGATCGAGAATTTGAAACTTCGATAGATTATTGGCTCCAGTCTTCAATTGCTTTTCTTTTCAAACGGTCCCTTTCAAATATTTTGTTTCTGATATTCCTAGTAATCCAAGCCACAGATGTTTTATTTCTTACCCGTCTTTCCCTAACAGGGGTATGTTTATCAAGAACAGTCATAAAAAGATTTTCCAACATGCCCATTTATTATTACCGATATCAGTTTCTCTGCAGTCAACTAAATACCACGGTATGAGATATGAATTAATTTTTGTTACTACATAAATTAAACTATGATCACTCACTCCCATATGAATTACATCATGAAATGCAATTCGCTCAGGACAGGAGGTAATACAAACGTCTAGTAACGTAGAAGACGATTCAGTAATCCTTGTAGGCTTATCGATTACTTGTGTAAGTTGATAAAGTTGCATGATAGAATGTAAGTGTTTAGCAGAAGTGTTGGACTGGTCTAACAGATTACAGTTAAGCTAGATCTCCTAATAAATAAATTTCCTTATTCTCGTTATGGACATTTTTAAGCAAAGATTCAATTTGCGAGAAAGATTCGACGGTTGCTGACGGCGGACGATAAATACTAAGTATAGAAACGATAAAGGAACGAGAGTTGCGCTGGTTAATTTCCAAATAGACACTCTGAATATTCCGGCACTACAAAAATCACCACGATTTAAATATGATATGGTCCGCCTAATGTAAAAACAGACACCGCCATCGTGTTTGTCCCTATATCCATGCGAACTATTTAACAAATTCACTTGGAATATCGGAGTGAGGTCTTGTTTCATTGAGTGCCAGAATATCAACAGTCTGCCGATTTTCTAGCAATAAGCGAAAAAGTATTTCACAATACTTACCAACAGGTCGGGAGATTTCTCTGACTTAATGTCGTTTGTACCAACGTGGAGAATTATTTGATGTGAGTTGCGACGAAGCAATTGTTTCAAATCACTGGAAAAATTTTGAAAATCCATAGAAGTTCATAGAATGGAAATTGTATGGACCTTTATTGGAAATAGAATGGGTTTTGGTTATCCATAATAATTGTATATTTCCATAGTATGGATATAGTATGGAAATAGTATGGATATACTATGGATTTAGTGGTGCAATTGCAAATTTCGTCGTATGGATTTCACTTTTTCAGTTCCAGTGAATAGTCTTGCATATCATTGACTTTGCTTCCTGAGAAAGATTTTACGGCAACAGTTCTGTCGATATTTGACATCTCCCAGCCATGCACATGGTGTGATGACTCGGGGTGAAACACGCAAGTGAAACACGCAAGTACAATATTACCCTCGAGTTTGTGACATAGCCAGTATTATCGTATGGGGATTTAAAAGAGCTGTTGGCCCCGTTTAATCCTTACCGATGTGTTGAACTGCCGGTCGGGGTTGTATTAGATGTACAGCCACGAAATGTCATTGTTGCAATTCGTTTAGTTCAATCATGACCGGCAGGTTGTTTAGTATCCGATGTTGACGTGTACATCTCAGGATGTGGTATACCTTGCTCAGTGCGTGGCTTGTGGCTATAATTGCAGGGGGTTGGTTCAACTATTATTTTTTTTGCAGAATCTTCACTTTGATCTCCGCGCACACTGGTTCACACACAATAACATTCAGGGGACTGTATTCTATCAATTTATTTCATTGGAAAGATTTTCTATTTACAACGCGATTTTAGACTTCCTCGTCTCGCTACGATCTGATCACAACTGAATTTACATATTAGCCTTAATCAATAATAGTATTAAATTACAAAGAATCACTGTGACGTATTTTAAGCAATACTATATACATATATTTACATTAAGTAGCAGAAGCAACTGCTGGGAACTTGTTTGGCAAATAAATTACAAGCCACATGCATATAAAGCATAAGCGTAGAACATGTGGTGTGGTTAACTACATCATAGATGTGCCCTGCATGTAGTGAGCATTTCAACTTGAAATTTATGTTAATCGATAACAACTATGAGGACTTAAGAAAGTGTGAAAACTTTTGTATATATATTATTATATATTATATATATATATAAAAAATATATATATATATAAAATATATTTTAAAAACTCATTAATAATTCAGGACTCGGAAAACACAAAGAAAAATCATAAGCTGTCGTATCTTTATATGTGATAAAAAATCATGTTAATTTACATAAACTTTAGCTTTGATTTTCTCGGTTTAGACAAAGTTTATTTTAAAAATTACTTCGCCAATGAACTCATATAAGATGAGTCCTTTTTTAAACCATTTAAAGCACTTGTATCTAGTCGTGTTTTATCAGATATAAAACGCTCGGCTGCGCCTCGCGTTTTATATCTGATAAAACACTCCTACGCGTGCTTTGAATAGTACATATATATTATATTTACGAAACACAAACAGTGCTCAATACCATATAGATAAAGCGTAATATAGTTTTTCGCTTTACCTCAAAAAACCGCAACAGTCTGTTTCATCCGTATAGGAATCATCGGGTGGTTCCTATACGGATGAAACAGACTATTTTAGACTATTAAAGAGGACAGCATTGTTGGGACCTACATATAAGCGGGATAACCTATAATTAAACATTGTTGTGGAAACATTTTAAATTTCTGGTGTTTCCTTGACCTCGTTTTTCGCGGCCTATGCGGTAAGGCTTTTGCAAGTTTTGTTACCCACTTTGGCACTTTCCGGAAACATCTATGGCAAAAGTAATGTTCACGCAACAATGCTACAGATTATTAATAAATATTCGAAACCCTTATCAATCCCTTGTGCAATTTAAATGTGTTTTAGATTGATCTAGGGCTGCATGCAGTTAAACAGCCAGAGTCAACGCTCATTAAAATATCCTAAACAAACAGAAAGGCCAATCATAGACAAAATCATAATTGCAATTTAAATTAGTTTACAAAGTAAGCTAGCTAGGTGATATTTCATCAGTCGACTTCCAACAATTATAAACGCTGAAACAGACGCAAGTATTGTTTCTTCGCACTATCGAGCGCTCGAAAATAGCTATCATGTAGTATGATTGCAATGACATTGTTTGAAACATGAGAATATAACATGAATGAATCATTGATCACTTGCTGAGTTTATACTATGGACTGACAGAGGCTTAAAGCTGGAGATTTCAGAAATGATGGAGTGATGTTATCTTCATTGAAACTATTATGAATATGTTTACTAACGGTTCAAATAATACTTTACCTGCCGAGACTACCTCATCGCCAGAAGACAAGTCATCGCGAGGTTGGTTTGCGCTTTTCTTAACGCTTGTTGCGTTATTTGGTCATACTTTAGTCTTCTTGGCATTTTACCGAGAACGGAAGCTACGAACTTTGCAAAATATTGTTATTATTAATCTTAGTGTTGCTGATTTTCTCTTCAGCGCAATTGTCCCCTCAACGCATGTTGTGCGTCTTCTTCGAAGGGAAGAAACTTTAAGTGAAACGCCTTGCTACGTTACTGGTGTTGCAAGTATGCTACTCTGCCTTGCATCGATTAATACCTTAACGTTTATCAGTATTGAAAGATTTATGGCGACTAATTATCCAATAAAACACAGACGTTACTTTGATTTAAAATTAGTAAAAGTTGCCTTAGCCATCATTTGGTGTTGGAGTGCAATACTTAGTGCTTTCCCTTTCCTTACCACTAAGTATGTTTTCCTCAAGAGATTTTTCCACTGTTCTCCTGATTGGGCTAAAAATTTAGCAACTACGTTGACACTAGTTATTCTTGGTATTGGTATACCATTGGTTATTTTGATTTATTGTAACTTCCATATTGTTTACGCTTTGCGCCAGAGCAGACAAATTCATACAAATAATACAAACCGGGACATTTCCAACGCGCGGTATAAAAGAGAACGGCAAATGTCGGTGTTGACATTTGCCGTAGTCGTAACGTTCGCTATATGTTGGGCACCCTACAGTGCAGCCATGTTATGCTTGGCCCGCGGAAATTGTGGATTTTCCGAGGATTTCATGTTCTTAGCATTAATACTAAGCATTTTAAACAGTAGTTGCAATCCTCTAATCTATGGACTACTCAATAGGAATTTCCGCAATGGTTTCAAGAATATTATAACATGCCGACGGGCCGAAACGTCACCTGCCAATATGTTAACAATGGCTGCTACACAGAATTGTTTTACGGATTTTAAAATGACAAAACGACGAACAATTTACAACGACAATATCTAGGCACACAGTGCTAAACACCATCGCAACCGTATTAAGATATTTTTATTTGAATTTCCGACAAAGAATATGCTCCGGCAGTTATGTAAATATATGCACGGCTGTGTAAAAACAAGCATCTCCTTTGAAATACAGTATCTATACAGTTCTAAAATAAACTTGGATGAAATTTGTATTCTTACTTTTTACATGCATGCATGGTAAATTAATAAGAGGTTTTATTGACAAGAGGAGAGGTACTCTATAATTTCTAGCTACAATCCTGGACGGCTGGGCAAAACCGGCCTTAAGACATTAAAATTCCAGCCAATATTATAAAGTAATTGAACATTGACAAAACAAACTTTGTCTCCCCCTCCCCCGTTCAATCTTGTAAACATCGCCAAAACAACTTTTGGTAACATACCATGACACAAGCTCATCATTGAGTTGAGGGGGGGTTAGTCTTAACCAGTTATGACCAAGATTGTAGCTGTCTCCCTTGTCTTTTTATTTATCGACACGTTTGGTAAACTTATGTTTATTAAATAACATTCTCAGTTTTGATCAATCATGGAAATTTAAATATTCACGAGGTTATGCAATAAGCAAGGTTAACAACAACTTGATGACCGACGGGGGTAACTAAAGCGGATGTATCCGTCATTTGTACAGTGACGAAGTGCATTAGTAATAAATTTTTTTCTTCTTTTTCATTGTGCCTTTTTTTATATTCGCGGTTAATTCGCCCATCATATAGTCTGGTTTTGATTTTGATTTCCACCAAGTATGTAATTAGTGTGAAGGTGTTGGTTCTCAAGGGGTGGTGGCAACTCAAGATCCCATTTACATGGATCTTAAACTTGATTCTGAGTAATTCCAGGCCACCCCTCGGTCAACCGAGCTAACATCTAACGATCTAAACGAGTAAGTACGGTGTACAAGGTGTTAACAATCACTAGCTTGTCCTTTGAATATCGAACATTTCTCAGCATGCATTTTTGAGTATTTCAACAAGGATGAGGCACTATTTGTATGCTACTGGGTCGGAAATCTGTTCCTCTTTGGGGGCAAAAAGGTGTTAATTATTCAACTAATTATCAAAAATGCTGGTATCGTTGGTTTTCTCTTTTTCGGCCGTATACCAGTGGATTCGGCTTCTCTCTTCATTTTGAGAGTATTTTTATGTTGAATCGCAGTTTAATCCTAGCGTACGGACCAACTGGCGGCCGACAGAAGAATGTAGCGTACTAAATATAACTTTACTTTTACTTGTAGGCGAGAAACGCCGGAATTTTATTTGAGGGGCACCGCATTTTAGTACTGTAGCACATATAATCTGTGTACGTCAAATACTGTAACTTGTGAAAGCAATTCTGTAAACAATAAAAATTATTGCCGTGCTAAACATGATAAGTTTGAATATGGACATTATAGTTCACCAAAAACTATTCTATATAACCGGAATTTGCATGTTTTCCGTGTGAAGGACAAAAGCACAGCATGTGTTGCCTGAACAGAAGGACAATGGTTCTTCGTCCTTACTCCTTCGCACGCAAAACATAAAAATTCCCCTTACACAATAGTTTTTAGCCCGCCGCCGTAAACATGATCCTATTAAATTGGACATTTGCGTCTTTGATCTTGCGAACGCGCTGTTGCTATTTTTGTCAGTTTCTTGGTTTCATATTTCATTTGAGCGTCATAACAACACTGTTAATATGGCGGCCGAAAGGAAAGGACTTCGACCACAGGGGGCCCCACTATGAGTTATGATTGAAATAATATTGTATTTATTGTATTTAAAAACCTACTTGAATCCCTTGATAATCGATTATTTCTTCTCTCGAAATTCTGTAAACATTTTAAACTGCTTGGAGTCATTGTACTATCACTCTACATGACGTTTCACGAAATATAGATGATCGCTGACAAGTAAGGACCGCGGGCGCGAAAAGACAAAGGCGGCGAAAGAAGGGAGAATTGAGCTAAAGGGTTGAAACTTCGGCGGGTCATCGTTTGATGTGTTCCATAAGTAGGTTGTTCTCCGGCAATTTCGCACGGGGCCCAATGTGAGTTAGGATTGAAATAATATTGTATTTATTTTTAAAAACGTACTTGAATCCCTTGATCATCCATTATTTCTTCTCTCGAAGTTCTGTAATCCTTTTAAACGGCTCGGACTCATTATACTTGACGTCACGAGAACAACCTACTTATGGAACACATTGTGCGAAAAAACCCTTCGAGTGTTTCATGTAAAAACATACGAAAAATCAATCGTTTATTGAATCTACTACATGTGAAGATATGTCCAAAAAGACATCGAATCTGCAAAACAATATTCGAAAACACAAAGAAATTGTGAATTTTAAGGCATTTAGAAATGTCATGTAGTCGATGTTTCAACCCTTTACTAATTCTCCCTTCTTTCGCCGCCTGCATCTTTTCGCGCCCGCGGTCCTTACTTGTCAGCGATCATCTATACTCATGTAGGGTGATAGTATAATGATTCAAGCAGTTTAAAATGTTTACAGAATTTCGAGAGAAGAAATAATCGATTATCAAGGGATTCAAGAAGGTTTTTAAAAATAAACTACAATATTATTTCAATCATAACTCATAGTGGGGCCCCCTGTGCTTCGACTGGAGAAATGATTCTACAAGGTTGTAGAGGATGGAGTGCTCTTAGAACGCGCTAACTATCCTAACTCTCATTGATCATGACTGTTCCAACATTATAGTGATGGAACACTTGTTCTATCAGGTCAAGTATGACAGCCTTGTACGTATAAGCGCCTTTATCTTTATGCTTCTTTGATTAAGGTGGCCTTAAACAAATCGTCCATTAATCGGTTGAAAAGAAATTTATAATCCAACAATTCTTTATTTCAAAATTTAAAAATATTTCTGTGCACATTGCCATTGTTCTAAATATTGTAGTAGTAGCATGCAAACAATAACAAGCCGACCATAGTACTGTATTACAGTATAAAATATGCAAAGAACAACTCAAATAACCTCAATACTTGTTTACTTCCACTACGAAGAACAGATTTGCAGACGAGCGATTATTTCTATCGCTCTTTCGCTGTTGAACATCTTCCCATTCATTTGCCGCATCAATCCCAGAAAGTACAAACACTAAAATTAAATGAATCTTGCAAGCATCCAATGCTGTACTAGAAATCATTGCGCTATTTGCGCATTTTGCGCATACAGTAAAAATTTTCAACCCCCAAAGTACAGAACAAATATTGCACCAAAATTAACAATTCACCTATCAAAATAATCACAAGAACCCATGCTTTTTGAATCTGCGCGAACTTTTTAACATTGCGCACGGCAAAATGGTGTTCAAGCGCTTCAAAGGCAGCCTGCGGGCGTCTCGATGGTAGTTTTCTAATAGACGGCGACAAAAGCATGCAACTTCAATGCCAAAAGTACAGGGTCTTTTTCAACGCTTTCCAAAATCCACTGTATGCAGGGGAAAGTACAATATCTGAGCTTTATATATCTGTCCGTACTTCTTAAGAAAGTTACATATAAAGCGAGAAAGAAGGAATATTAGAGAAAAAATGCATGTTTTTATCGCGCGATTGTATTATGAAAATCCAGCATGACGTGACACCTGATAGTTGCTGACCTTTTGTCAGTACATGTTTTGCCATCTGAATTATGCACAATACATATCACAAAAAAGTGAAAAACAAATAAACAAAATAAAACCAACCGCCTAGCGCCGTTCTAAGAAAGACCCTGGGACCGAGGTTGAAACAAATCTCACATGAGAGGTTATTTGGCCAACCGAGGCCGGTGTGAACGCCTGAGCTGGCGTCTTGTTTTCTGTAAATTGTTCTGTTTTTTCTGTAGCGGTTACCAAATTTTGAGCAACTATGGTGACAAAATTTAGCTTTCATTTGTATATCCCCGACGAGTTAACGCTCTACAGAGCGTCTTGGTCATATAATTCGCAATCAGGGCCCGTAACCTAGCCTTCCTAGGAAACAGAACGGGCGGGAAAATTGCCGGTTATCGTAGAACTAAAAACGTTAACTAAAAAATCCGCAACGTGTTTTTCCAAAATTATCTAATACTAAGCATACGTTGAGTAATGCTTTTGAAAAACTGTATCGTCATTGTGCTGAAATATTTACCGTAAAAAGTGCTGGGGTCATTCGGAAAAGAAAACTTTTGTTTTGTTGTAGGATGCATAGCAAACATGGCTACAAACAGCTGCAACTCCAAAATCGTAAGAAATATGAAGCTAGGCTATCCCTGTCTCTATAAAGCCTACAAACAAGAAAGTTCTTCAACTTCTGCAAGTTAAACCAAACACCGAGGGGGAACGTGATGCCTTGAAGTTCTTGCAGCGTTACATTAGAGGTTTACAGGTAACCTAGGGAATTTTCTTCGCTTTACCACAGGAGCCGATGTTTTGATTGTGAATAGTATATTTGTGTCTTTTATTAAAGTTGATGGGATTTTTAAAACCCCTGTCGCACACACATGCTGTCCAGTGTTAGAGTTACGTTGCACTTACTGCAGCGAAATTTTCGACCCACATTTTTTTAGCTTAATTAAAAGTGCTTTCCTTCCTCACCTGTTTACCACAAACAAAATTGAAATTGGTCAATTCAAACCGATTTTATAGCCTTCCAAAGTAGCCATTTTTGGAACTTCCTGTGCGAACTTTTGATCCGCCATGTTGATGCTGTGTGACGTCATCGATTGGGAACTGGACATTGTTTAAATTATATTTATGTTGAACAGTTGTTTGATTGGTACTAAATAGCCAGGATATGGACAATGTCATAACTCATCAATGAACTGAGTAGATACTGTAGTCATCATATTAGGCACAATTCCTGCTTTTAATTGTTTGTAGTTGCATCATAGTCATCATTCAAGTCCTTATTCATTCAATACTTAATCTGTAAATTTCAATCTTCCATTAAACCGTTTTTACTAATTTTCTACATTTCCAGAAACGTTAACTCAAATTTAAACTCAGTTATCTCAGTCAATACTGTTTTAAAATGCACATGGTATTTATCAAAATTTAAGTTAGACATTACTGAATACAATGCCTCTTAAGTCTAAGAGCTTAGAGCTCTTTTAGTTTTTAAGTTATGCTGAATCAAACAGCTCGAGGAGTACTACTTTTGGGTCACCCAGAAGTAACTCTAGATCGTAATGTATATATATTTCAGGGTACGTTTTTTCACTTTTTATTAATTTCAGAGCCGCCCCTGCTTTTACCCTGTCTAACATCAAACAATTTTACTCTTCAATGGGAGAGTGCAGACAATGGCAAGATCTAAGGCTTATACCAAATGTATTCATTGTTGTAAACTTGCCACAGCTTACAGTTATATTGCCACCATTGAAAGGCTTTTAGAAATTGGGACAGGACGGTTACTGCATGTGTAATATAACGACAGCAAAACACTAGCTATCACTGGGAAATTTCCTCAGTGACTGTATGGTTACAAGGAAATTTGGCTTGCAAAGTGGATTTTACCCATGTATAAATGGAATGTACTGCCTGCATTGGTTAATTAACACACTCAAGGCAAATATTAAAGTGTTAAACAGGTCTTTATATCCTGTTGCACTTGCACCATATAAACAGTCACGTGACAAACTATTAGATTCCTATTAAATTCCACTCCGGTCCTTTCTCTTATGTCTAGGTAACTCACACCCATATAAACCATGCCATTGATTATTTGATTTAAGAAAGCCTTTGCTAATTTTCGCCACATCTGAGACACTCAAGTTTGAAAACTTTGTCCTTGTCCAAGGGATAAATTGCGAAGTGTATTCCGCAATAGTGAAAGCTCAATTACAAGATTATAAGGCAAGAGGCATATATTGGCACAGTCACAGATGTCAACAATTGAATTTACATTTTAATATATTGACAATTTTCGCTCGTTCCTTTTCGTGTATAATTTCGACTAAATCACTGCACTTTCCGCTTATTTTCATATAGCATGTCGTCTACAATTTGAGTAGAAATTTTCATGTTGTCGTCAATTCATGTCAAGACAAGGTCGTTCCCAGGCTCTTCCCTCTCGCGAATAGAGCTTTCTTGTAATGACGTCAAACGCGGAAAAACACTTAATGCGATGCCCCAAGGGCAAGGGACAATTTTTAGCCAAAATTCGCAATACAAATGTGTTTTTATGAAATCTATTGGCTCGCCAACGACTTGCATTGTCCCGTGGGACATCACATAAATTGGTTTTCCGCGTTTGACGTCATTATAAGAAAGGTCTATTACTCGTTGTCTCTATCCAATCTCTAACAATCCCAGTAAATCGCTGTCTTGGCTCACGATAACGTGAAAAACAAAATTTTATCAAAGCATCAATATGGGTTTAGGAAAAATAGATCTACTGAACATGCATTAATTGAACTTATTGATGGAATTACTAAAGCGATTGATCAGGGAAAATACACCATATGCATAGGTATTTTTCTTGACCTATCAAAGGCGTTCGACACTATTAATCACAAGATTTTGATTAAAAAGTTGGAGCATTATGGTGTTAGGGGTATTAGCATGAAATGGTTTGAAAACTATCTGTCTGGTAGAAAACAGGTTGTCAAATTTAATCAAATTAATTCAGAACAAATGGAAATTACAAGTGGTGTCCCACAAGGGTCTACATTGGGACCACTTCTGTTTCTACTATATATTAACGATATTCAAAATTGTAGCAACATTATTTCTGTTATATTATTTGCAGATGACACAAGCATATTCTACAGCCACAATTGTCTTAAAACACTAAATAAAATTATTCAACAAGAACTCGATAGAGTTTCTATTTGGTTAAATGTCAATAAACTTTCCATTAATACTACAAAAACAAAATTCATATGCTTCAAAACAAAAAAGAAAAGACATAACCATAGAATAGAAATTTCAATAAACGATCAAAATATTGAACAAGTTAATCAAACTACATTCCTCGGTGTTATTATTGACGAAAACGTAACATGGCATAGTCATTTGAATCTGATCTACAAAAAGATTATGAAATCCACTGCGGTTATATCTAAGATTCGACATTTCACAAATTTAAACACTAGAAAACTACTTTACTATAGCTTAGTCTATCCATATCTTACTTATGGCAACTTGATATGGGGTAATACATATAAAAAGAGAATTCAAAAACTAATAAATATCCAAAAAAAGATAATTAGATTAATTACATTCAAATCATACACTGAACACACCGAGCCCCTCTTCAGAAACCTGGGGATATTGAACTTTGAAAATATAAATGATTACCTAATTTGTCTGTTTATGTTTCGATATTATTACCTCGAAAATTTACCAGAAGTATTTAGTAATTATTTCACCAGCAATTATGAAATTCACCATTATAACACAAGAACTTCATCACAACTTCATAAGTCTTATAAAAGAACAAACTATGCAAAACAAACCCTTTCTGATAAAGGAGTTAATATTTGGAACAAACTAGATTGTAATTATAAAAATATCAAATTTTATACCACCTTCAAAAAGAAAATTAAAAAGCACCTACTACTCAATAATTAAGCACTGTAAATATAGCCATAATTTCTTACTCTTTCTACTTGTCTCTTGTATATTTGAGCATCTATAGTTATTCTACTTGTAAGTATAGCACTATAGGTATCCGTTCTGTCCTTTATTTAAAGTCTTAAGACTTGACAGTACTTTTGACAATATACTGGTTTTATGAATTTTTAGTGACTTAATTTTTACTCGTATAAAACTATAGGGGCCTTAAATAAAAGCCTATACATGTTTCCAAAGGTCTCTGGCTCTCTAAAAGTATCTCAAAAGGAAATAAATGTAAATAACTATGTAATTTGGGCAAATTAATAAAAAAAAAAATAAAATATTGTAAACATACTGTTTCCAACCATTGATATTTCATCAAGTAATATCAACTTTAATGCACCCAGTTCACATCTTAAAGTGTTCAACCTACCAGAGTCCAGTGGTTTATAAATTTTAAGCGATTGGCTTGCTGGAATTGATAAGGCACTATGGATTGTGTTTCCTTTAATTAAATAAGCTGCTTTTCCTGTTGGAGCGAGCAACAATACTTGAACGCGACGAAAGTCTTCGCCAGCTCGTTTGTTATAGTGCTTTAAAGCAGCTTGATAAATTGACTTAATCAAGTGAGATTTACCAACTCCTCCACTTCCACTTAAAAAGGCATAAAATGGGTCATCAGATATCTTCATTAAATGTAAAGCATGATAAAAAAATTCCCTTTGTTTCTTGTTTAGCATTTGGACCAAATGTCGGTATTCATCATCTTCCATTTCATTTAAAATAAGTGGTGCATTATTAGCTAACCTTGATGGGACACCCAAGTCTTCAGAGACATCATATGTTTCATTTAAATCTGGATGTGTATCTGTATTACCTTCGTGCTCATCCCAATGTTCAGTGTCTTGTGTTGTAACTGGTGCTATTGTGTCATACGCATCATCATCACATTCTTGTAAGTGATGTTGAATTTCATTTAAGTCTTCACTACAAACCGCATATTGTTGCATTACTTATCTCATCACGACGAGCTTCGTAATGTTCTTCAAAGGAAGAGTAATTTCCAATTAAATCGGCCTGTTTATTTCGCCATGGAGTGAAAAGCATGATCAACTCACGATAATGTTTTTCTGGTTGAGATTTTTTGTTAAACCAAACACTACGGCTAATTCTTGCTTGCGATTTTTTTTGATCGACTTTCTAGATGAAACACAACTTTCAGTGTTTTGAACATCTAGGTCATCATCATTATTTTCATCTTCATCTTCCAAAGGAAGGTTGTCAGTATCTGATTTTTTAGCAGATTTCTTATACTTGTTCAGCCCAGATGAGTCGTACCATGCTGCCCAGTCAGCTAATGTCATATTTTTTAAACTGTCTGGTCGTTCTACATATCGTTTCAGAAGTCCACCAGAGCGAATTTCTTCAGATTCGTCTGACATCTTCTCAATCTCACTGAGAGGTTTCAATAGTTCAACACGATCACTTGGAGGAGATGTGTTAATGAATACAACATTTCGAGAAGATTTTCTCATGGAAAGTTGCAGAATGATATACACTGCTTCTTGTGCACTTATTTCAACCGAGTTTAAAAACTTGTTGTCAATGTCACGGACTTGTTGTTTGATGGTGGAATTACCTTACTTAGCTTCAGCACATGCGTTACGTAACAAATCACTCATTCCTTTTTGAGCTTTAGAAATATAGGAAACAATGTACATAGCACAAGCATATACATCCAGCACAAATTGAATGCCCATGTTAGCCAGTGCCTTTTTTAACTATATATCTGGGGGGGGGGGCAATTTCCCCCCAGGGAAAGAATTCTCCCCCCCCAGTAAAGCCATTTCTGCCCCCGAAGTGCGAAGCAGAATTACTCGATGATTGCTGTCAGAATTGCAGTTGATTTACTTGATAATGAGATTATGCCCTTCCATAGCCTCCTCCACAGCCATCTTGTGTGTAATTCATATTGTTCTTCACCGAGTATTTCATAATAGCGATAGATTTCATGCAAACAATCCGATAAAATGCTAGCCTTTCCAAGCCTTGCGACTATTTCCTAGCACTCTCCTCCGTAGAGGCGTTGTGTTTTGTTTTGGGAGGTTTTATTGCAAAATTGTTTTCTTAAAAAATATCAAGTTATATTAACAGCCCCCCCCCAATCGCCCCAAAAACCCATTCTCTCAGAAAGGCAAAATCCGTAGAGAATTTTTTTTTTTTTGGGGGGGGGTGTACACGTTACATTCTCGAAGCTGAAACTGATTAAGTACGTCTCGACTGAGGAAAAAGACGGTATACTGGAGGAACTTAATTTGTGAAATCTCGTTAAAGCAGTTGTAGATATGGTTCCAAGAAGAGTAGATTTAGTTTAGATTTTTAACTGTTAAATACATGTATGCATCATCATAGCATGAATATTTCTTCTCAGACTTATTCTGTATCGTATGAAAAAGCAACGCAATTTTGAGAATGCGGAAATGGTGTCTCATAGAACCTAAAATGATTTAAATGCAACATTTCTGATCAAAATCACATTGGGATCCCCCCCCCCAGCATCACAGAGAGGAAATAAGGTGATACTGACCCCTCCTCCTATTTTTCAAGGTGACTTTTCCAATTTATTTAATTCCGAGTAGAAATGTCTGGAAAAATTCATGTCTTCGATGTACTTTATTATCTTCGGAATTCTGCTAGATTTCACCCTCAAAGTGTATGAAATCGCAATTCAGGGACCCTAGATTTCAAAATTTTCCGGACTCCGGACCCTCCTAGACGAAGGTGTGAGGTTCGCCCCCCCCCCTCGCAAAAATTATTTAAAAAGGCACTGATGTTAGCTCTCCATGCTTGGAGGCAAGCAGGATTATAATTATTAATTCTTATCTCATTGGGGCTTCTTTTTAGAAATATTGTTGGACAATTTAGTGATGATCGAATTGCAAGAATATATTGATATTCTGAAACATCTAGTTCTTTCAGAAGTTGCTCAAATGTTACATCTTCTCCCTCTTTTAAATCATTTAGTTTATTCTTAATATTTTTCCACAACTCTTTTCTAGCTCTTATGACAGTTTCAGAAGCATTGTCATCAAGTGGATGTAGTATCTGTGTTGATCTCATGGGAGGCTGAGGGTAATTAAATCTACAAACTTTTTTGGAGTTTTTTCGGCATGTGTGAGAATGTCTATGAGTTTGTCTGTTTGCAAGATCAAATAATTCAGTGTCATTATCAGGCTTTCTACAAGATATTATTTGGTCAATGAAATTCACTACATCTTCATCTTTATCAACACCAAATACAGGTGCATTTTCAAGCCATATGAGCATATGGATGTGAGGGGAGCCCCTCTGTTGGTATTCAACCCTGTAAAACCAATCTTTAAGTTTCCCTAATGGGGCAATTTCACTCATTAAAAAATCTTTTAAGAAAGTATTAAATTGGTAATCAAAATGCCTTGCACAAGTTACTGGGTCACTTTGAATTAGTCTGCACTTTTCATCCCAATTTAAATTATCTAATTGTTCATCACTATAGTCTTTGTGATCAACAAGCTTACCAAGGATTCTTAGTAAATGATTCCATTTTGTTTCAGCAGATGAAAAACTACAAAATAATGATGCAGGTCCTAACTGCCGAATAATAGCAAAAAAATCCTTTTTGGCTTTTTCAAAGTAAGGTGGGGAACCTCTCAAAGCTCTTAAAAATTTGTATCCTTCATCATGGCAAATGAGATTTGTTAAACCTTCCGGTGTTTTTAACTCACCAGCAGTAAGTGTTCTGTTTCCCATTTTACACTTGCGAATAGCAAGCTGAGATTGTCCCAGCAATAATTTCATCTGCATTTTTTTAGTTTTAAAAAATATGTTCTCAATACACATTGCAGCTCTTCGATCAGACCGTCTTAGTTCAGATTTGCATATTTCACTGTAATAAACACGAGTCAATCTTTGCTTCTCATCTGGCCGCTTTTGACCCAGAAATATTCCTGGATAAGCTAGTTCCTCTGAATACTTATCTCTAAATATACTGAGTGGTCTACTACCTTCACCAGGTGCAACATTGTACATATGTTGTCTTTCAGTATCATCTACAAAATCAGTAGGTGTAAGCATACTGTCTGTTACACCTGCAGGAATTTCTGCTTCATCTTCACTCCATTCATCTTTTGAAGATGCCGAATTAGTTTGATCAACTGTAGTATTTTCATTGTCACTATTATTAGGTGTTGTAACATCAAAGTATGATAACCAATGCTGATCAAAAGTTATTCCTTGTTCTCGATATAATTCACTAGTATTTACCAACCAAGCTGCAGCTTGCATCACTTTATTAGGTCTCACATTCAAAGACAAGGCAGAACTCTTATATTCCAGTCGACGTTTTAATTGAACTTTAATAGTCCCAGTATCTTGTGGTAACCTGGGTAGCATGTTAACGGTATTACATATGTCTGCTGGTACATTCACAACATTACCAGCAATTTTAAGTTGCCGACCTCTCGGAGCTTGCATTATTTTTTGAAATGCCAATCTTGGAGCTATAAGCCTGCATTCTAATTCATTTAAATCAAAGAAGTCAGGTTTTTCTGGAAACTTCAAGCCATTTGAAACTGCAGATGGTGGCACTTTATCCTTTTTAAGATGTTTGTCACATGTCAAACACAGCCATTCAATATTATCCACACTTTTAATGCCTTGTAGATGTTTAGTAGAATTTGGATTGCGCAATCGAAGCCTCCCCGCCGGACAAACACTGTGCTTATACCATAATTGATCACAGCATGAACATATATACAGAGGACCTGTTGATACAGATTTATGGAATTTATGTATCAATTGTGATACACTATTATGTGATATTTAACAAATATAAAACATTTTCCGTGTTGATATAACTATATATCAACACGGAAAGAATGTTTTATATTTTTTTATAATATAGCAATGTCAAAAGCCCGAAGGATAAGAAAAATTTCCGTGTTTACAAGCGGCGGAAAATTTCCCGAGTTAACTGTTGGATTATGATTGAACGCCTCTAAATCAGAATCCGTGAGGTAACTTTTCTGACACCCCTAGCTTAAAACTCGTAAAGACTAAGGGATCGATAGGCCATGCTTTCACAGTTTGTATTCATACTGAAAATCAAAATCAAGTGAGCTTGTACCCTTTTGTTCTACATGAGATTTCCGTTCTTATTGAGCTCACCTTAGAACACCTGCGTTATCATTTGACAGTTGTGCCGCCCCAGCCAAACTCCCAACCTGACAACCCGAGTTGAGTTATATCAACACGGCTCTTAGCCAATCAGCGTTCAGAATTTACAAATGCTATATTATAAACCGTTATCATTATTGAGATGACCTCGAGAACCTGATGGAGGACATTGTTTGTTTTTTTCCAGAACGTCCACTTTTATTTTCCTTATAATTAGCTTACTTTTGCTAATCTTTGCTCTCTTTGTTCGACAGTTTCGTTTTGCCTTTTCAACCTTCTTGCTTTTCGCTGGTTTTGAAGCCTATTTTCCCTCTCTGAAACAGTTTCTTGTTGTTTTACCTGTTTTCTTTTCTGTCTTTGCTTTGCAAGTCTATTCTCTCTCTCTGCTACCTGTTTCCTTTTCGCTCCTTGCTTTGCAAGTCTATTTTCCTTCTGTGAAACAGTTTCTTGTTTTCTTTTCTCTCTTTGCTTTGCAAGTCTATTCTCTCTCTCTGTAACAGTTTCTTGTTGTTTTGCCTGTTTTCTTTTCTCTCCTTGCTTTGCAAGTCTATTTTCCCTCTCTGAAACAGTTTCTTGTTTTCTTTTCTCTCTTTGCTTTGCAAGTCTATTCTCTCTATCTGTAACAGTTTCCTGTTGTTTTGCCTGTTTTCTTTTCTCTCCTTGCTTTGCAAGTCTATTTTCCCTCTCTGAAACAGTTTCTTGTTTTCTTTTCTCTCTTTGCAAGTCTATTCTATTTCTCTGTAACAGACTCTTTTTGTTTTGCTTGCTGTCTTTTCTCTCTTTGCTTCTCCCTTAGCTTTGCAAGTCTGTTTTCTCTTTCTATAACTGACTCTTGTTGTTTTGTTAGTTGTTCATGGTTATTTGATGTTGTGTCGTCATTTGCTGTGTTATCCAAACTGTTTGAAAATGAAATGTTTCTATGACATTTAACACCCTTCAATTCAAATAGACTATTTTCGCTATTTTGTCCAGGATAGTTACAACTGTTATGAAAAGAATCATTTATAAGGTTTTGAATTCCTTCAATAGAAACTAAAACACTATAACCCATTGCTGCTGGCATTCCATGCATATCTCGTGAATGAGAATTAAAAACGTTAAATACATCTGGGAAAGTGTTTGCTCCAATAGTAAGTAAACATGCTTTATAATTACCAGCATCAAATACTTCATGAAAGGCATGTTCAAGTGTAACTTAATACGGTTCATTGTTATATTCCATCCATAATGCTCCAGAAAAGAGTCACTGTACTCCAAATTAAAAGTACCATTGTTGATAGACAATATTTCAGGAACATCAGTGAGTGTAACCCGGATAATAATTAGGGCACCCTGTGCCAAATGTGGCCCATAAGGCCATACGAGAGAAAACTGTTAAGAGAGCATGGTTCTTATATATTTGATGAATAAAAGTGTTTTTGTTTGATAAAATCGTAAATAGAATCGTGTATTTTCATGGAAATAAACCCAGGGTAACATTTGGTGGCAGCGGTGGGATATAATTACAAGTAAATACGCGATTTTTATGGAAAAAAATGAAGGAAAAACGATAAGTTTTGTGTATATAAATATTCGTGAAATTGTTCGTACTGTATGAATCTTGGATAATTTTTGTGATTGTGCTTAAGTTTAAATATGGCAATAGACTTGGAAGAACTTCAGCTACAATTGGAAAAGGTACTGTGCGAAGTAAGCGAAGATATATTGGTTAAACTAGCAGTGTTTCTCAAATTGGACGAGGTGAAATATCAAGGAAAATAAAAACTTAGTATTACTCGAGTACTTCGAAGAGAAATTGAGGAGCAAGTAGCCCAGATTGAAGATGAGAATCAATGCCGTGTATTTCTCGAGGAAATCCGAGGACAGTTGATTGAGATTACAGATAAAGAAGCCCCTCCAAAGGAGACTGGAAACAAGGAACTTGAAGTTTTAAAACAGCAACTAGACAACTTGGAAAAAGATCATCAAAAACAAGTCGAAGCCCTCCAAAGTAAGATGGAAGAAAGTGAACTGAAGGCGACAGTGACAAGTGTAAGTAAACCAACCACAAATGATCTTAAAAGTGTATTACGTAGGGAATTCAAGATTAATGGTCAAATAGGGGAACCGGGTCAAAAGGATAAACTCACATTTGTAAGCTTGGTCAGACAGATCGAAAGTGCATCGTCTAAGGGTTACTCAGAAACAGAAGTGATTGATGGTGTAATAAGAGCAATTATTCCTAACATGCAGCTGCGAAGTTATCTCGAGACAGTTAGTGACCTGACATTGCCAAAATTACGTGCTATTTTAAGATCACACTTTCAGGAGAAAAGTGCAACTGAACTTTACCAGCAATTAACAACAATTGTACAATCACCTGAAGAGAGTCCACAGAGTTTCCTGATAAGAGCTCTAGACCTACGTCAAAAGGTTTTATTTGCCTCTAAAGAAGCAGGGGTAAAGATCAAATATGATGAAAGTCTTGTTCAAGGACTGTTTTTACACTCGCTCGAGACTGGACTTCATCATGAAGCTGTAAGAACAAAGTTACGACCATTCTTACAACAACCAGATATAACGGATGAATTACTAATTGAACAAATGAACATAATTGTATCAACTGAAACAGAGAGACAAAAGAAATTCGGTAAAGCAAGTCAGGCACGACAACGAAAAATCAACAATGTTCAAGCAGTTAAGTCCAGTTCAGCCGATGTTGAAGAACCCATTGAACAAGATCTAAACCAAGTAGTAAAAGAAAAGAAAGGACCCAAGCAAGGTGAGCTAATTTCTGCTCCAAAGACAGTAAAACCAGAACTTGCTGAGCTTAGGGAAACTCTGACAAACCAACAAGCCAAAGACAAGGAGCAAGAAACTGGGTATAAGGAAATCCAAGCAGGACGTAGGGGAAGATTATGTACAAAGTGTCAGGAAGCCAAAGAACTAAACTGTGACCACTGTTTTCGATGTGGTAGTTCAGACCACTTTGCCAGAGGATGCAAGAAGAGACCGAATTCGGGAAACGGAAGATGGCTGCAGCCGAGGGACAGGAAGTAGCCAGAAAATCAAGTAAGTCCCATTTTTGTGCTAAATGTTTAAAAACTGAACAGTGTGGATACCCCTTTTCAAGATGTTCTGGTTGTCAATTAGTACGATATTGTTCAAAAGAGTGCCAGAAACAGCACTGGAAAGAACATAAAGTACTGTGCATGTCAGTTAGAGAACTGACAGTTGATAATAATTCAAATGATAAGGGAAATCAGGATATTGGTAAATATGTCAGCCATTTAACTCCAGGAGACTATTCAAAAGTTGTGGGTTTAGTGGGTAGAAGATGTATGGTACATTGTCAGTTAAATGGACAAAAAGTACATTCTTTATGGGACACTGGTGCACAAGTGTCACTGATCTAAAAAAATGGCTGGATGAACAATTGCCTGATTTACCTATAAGGAACACTGAATCCTTATTTAACGATGGGACAGAACTTGACTTAAAAACTGCTAATGGGACACCCATGCCATATGAAGGGTTTGTTGTAGTTGAGTTCAAATTAGAAACATCAAGCACGGATCGGACAATTATGGTACCAATGTTAGTGACTCATGAAACGCTTGATTATCCAATCATTGGGTATAATGTAATAGAAGAATTAGTTAAGAAAGACAAGGTACCAGATCAAATTGTGATGGAATGGGCAGCTTCATTTCCTGATGTTAATTGTGCAAAGATACAATCCCTTGTAAGTTTGATTCAAGCCCCATCACCTGAACACCTGTGTTTCGTGAAGACCATTAAACAGGACGTAGTTGTTCCTCGCAAAACAACTGTTAGTATTAAGTGCCGTGCAAATACAGGACCTGTCGAAAAGCGGATACCAGTACTTTTTGAACCTAGTAGTGAACAGTCATGGCCAAGTGGTTTGCAAATAACTGAAGAACTGCTAACCATTCCCCACGGGTCATCCTGTCGAGTCCAAATTAATGTCTCTAACACCAGCAATCATGACATTACACTTAACAAACGAACAGTTTTGGAACATTACAGTTAGTAAAATCAGTAACACCACAGGAAGTTCGTCTAAAGGATGTAGACTTGGGTAAGACTCAAGCTGTTAACTCTGTTTATTCTGAACCTGGAAAGAACTGCCCAATGCCTACAATGGAAGATGGAGTGCAAACGTCACAAACTACAGAAAACATAGATAATGACTATAACCCCATCAACGATTTAGACCTCAGTGGTCTTACAACACAACAACGGGTTATGGTGAAACAAATGCTCGAAGAAGAAAAAGAATCCTTCTCAACATCCGATGATGATATAGGCTGCATAGAGGAACTTGAATTGAAACTGAATATGAAGGACCAAACACCAGTCCAGAAAACCTACAATTCTATTCCACGACCTTTGTACCCCGAAGTCAAACAATATATCGAAGATCTGCTAAACCGCGGGTGGATAACGAAGTCAAAGTCCCCATATTCATCCCCTGTCGTATGTGTTCGTAAAAAGAATGGTGAATTACGTTTATGTGTCGATTATCGCGAATTGAACAAACGTACTACTCCAGATAGACACCCATTACCGAGAGTACAGGACACACTAGATGGGTTGGGTGGAAACAAGTGGTTTTCTTTAGTGGACCAGGGCAAAGCGTACCACCAAGGGTTTATGCATGTAGAAAGTAGACCTATGACTGCTTTTGTAACCCCTTGGGGGTTATACGAGTGGGTGCGTATACCTTTCGGCTTGACCAATGCCCCAGCGTCATTTCAGCGCTTCATGGAAGGGTGTTTGGAAGGACTGCGAGATGACATCTGCCTACCCTATTTGGACGATATAATAGTGTTCAGTAAGACATTCGAGGAACACATAGACCATCTCAGAACTGTACTACAACGGTTGCGTGCCCATGGTGTTAAATTAAAGGCAAAGAAATGTAATTTATTTCAAAGGGAAGTTTGCTACCTTGGAAGAATTGTCTCTGAGAAAGGTTATCGAATTGATCCCAAGAACGTTAGTGCATTAAAGTCGCTGAAGGAGATGCCTCCAAAATCAATTGGGGAAGTTAGAAAGCTATTGGGACTTCTTGGCTATTATCGTCGCTATGTTCCTGACTTCTCAAGACTAGCAAAACCGTTGTTTGATCTACTGAAAGACACGGGAAAAGCGAACTGTGTTCGATCTTCTAAACCTGTTACGTGGTTACAACTACACCAAGATGCACTTAACTCCCTCATTGATCTCCTTTCAAGTCCACCGATTCTAGCATATCCCGATGTAAACCTGCCGTATACATTATATACTGATGCTTCCGACAAAGGCCTGGGTGCTGCTCTATACCAATGTCAAGAAGGCAAGCTGCGAGTGATTGGATATGGTTCGCGGACGTTGACAGCAGCTGAAAAGAATTACTATTTGCATTCTGGGAAGCTTGAATTCCTGGCTTTGAAGTGGGCCATCACAGAGCACTTTAGAGACTACCCCTATTACGCACCATCGTTTGTTGTATATACTGACAATAACCCATTAACGTACATCACATCCTCAGCCAAGTTAAATGCTACTGGACATCGTTGGTTAGCGGAACTAGCCGACTTCAATTTCACCATAAAGTATCATCCTGGCCGTAAGAATCAAGTTGCTGATACGTTGTCGCGAATGCCTGTGAACGTCGAAGAATACATAAGCCAATGCACTGCAGAGACAAGCCAGGAAGACATCGAAGCCATCAATCAAGGAGTGGAAGCACAGGCAGCAGGAAAGACTACTTGGATCAACGCAGTTACAGGTAACATGGATATAGCAGACCAAAATGAAACAGCAGGTGCTACCCGACAGGAGATTTCGCCAAAAGCTTTATACAGTGCGCAACGAAATGATCGTAATCCTAAACAAGTGATCCAGTATTTAGAAAACAGCACCGAAAAACCGTCAATAAGAGACAGAGTGGCTGAAACAAAGACGACACGCCGCCTAATGAATGAATGGAAGAAGCTGGAACTCGGAGAAGACGGGATACTGCGACGTCGCGCCGGAGAATATCTACAACTGGTGTTACCCAGGCAATTTCATCGAATGGTGTA